GTATTTTATCAGCATTATTATTATTGATATTATCATTTAATATTTTAATAAGCAACAGTTGTTGCAGTTTTCGGGAGGAGTAAAAAAACAAAAAAAAGTTTCAAAAAATGGTTTATCACATTTTTGATTTTAAAATTAATTTGCAAAGTTTAATGCAAAAATTAAATTGATATATTTTAGGGATTACAATATTTGCATAAATCATCGATTGGTTATCATGGAATGTTGTCATTGAAAACTTGTATGATTGATACAAATTGGATTCTTAAATTAACAAATTTTGGAATTTCAAGTATGCTAAATGAATTGATTGATCGGAATTATATACATATTTCAGAATTGATTCCTGCACATTGTAAATTTTTTTTTTCTTCTTCTTAAGATATAGAAAATTAAAAAAAAAAAGATGATGAAAAGAATTAGTAAGCAGATTTATAATTAATTAATCGTTAAATTTGTTAATTCATTCAAATTTAATAAATTTATATGATTTAAAAGAAAAAAAAACCTACATTAAACACTTGCAAATTTTACATCCGTTGATTTTAGTTTATATCACAGTTGCACCAGAATTATTAATTGGTATTCAAATTGGATGGAACTTTCCAAAAGGGACAATTACTGGTGACATTTATAGCTTTGGAATAATGCTTTACTCAATTATTTTTCGGGTTAAACCATTTGATCGACTTTCACTGAAAGGTTTTAACAAAAATCATTCGTCTTTTTTTTTGAAATTTTTTCCGAAACATTTAAAAATCTCAGAAACGATCTTCCGCTAAAAAAAAAAAAGGAAAGGAAATGAATGTTATCATTAAAAAATTACCATATTATCATTATCATTAAAAGGTAAGCTAATTACAGAGGTTCTTCATAATGTGGTTCAAAAATCATTGCGACCTCATACTAATAATGATAGCAGTGATCCGGTCAGTTTCAAATGAATCCTTTTTTTTTTTCACTACTAATTAATTTAAATATTTCTTAAAACCTAATGAAAAAAAAGAGCGAACTTTCGATAATGAAAAATTATTTCAGTTATTAATAGCTAGAAATATCACTCGACGCACTTTTTAATTTATGAAACAAAAATGAAAGAAAGTTTAAAATTAAAATTTTTATAGTTAATAAAATTGATGTGTCAATGCTGGAATTCAATACCAGAAGAACGGCCAAAACTTGAAATTATTCGTGAAACTGTTGGATCAATTTTTTCAAATTCGTAAATTTTTAACCAATTTGCTATAATCACTTCCAAATATCCAATAAATAATTAAATAGCACAATATATGCTTACAATCAAAAAAATTTTCCTCATCTTGAAAATTTTTATTAAATTTGAAAAAGTTTTGATAGTATATGAAGCATTACTTTCTTTTTTTTTTAATTATCCTAATTAACTTAATTAAAACCATTTTCTCATCCTATTTAAAGTAATTTTAAATCCAAGTTATTTTAAATAATTTGAATAGAAAAAAATTTTCTTTAATTGAATACTTTATATTCAGGTTACTTTAAAAGTAATTTAATTCTATTTTTTTCAGTAATTTAATTTTTGCTTTAAAGTAATTTAATTTCAATTTCAATTTTTTGAATTAATTTTAAATCTTCATCTATTTTTATTTTTTATCTAATAATTATTTAAGAAAAGGTAATTTGGTGGATCAAATGATTAAAATGAATGAAAACTATGCTCAAAATCTTGAGAGGATCGTCGCCGAACGAACTTCACTTCTTGTTGAAGCACAAGAACAAACTGATCGCTTACTTTGCGAAATGCTACCACCGTTTGTTCTATTTCCAAATTATTTTATTATATAATATAAAGTTTTAAGAATGCTTTTGTTAATTAAAGATAAAAAAAGTTTTTCAAAATTTTAAAAATTGAATTTTATTTTTTATTTTTGAAAATATTAAATAAAAATATCATCAGATCCATAGCAATACAACTTAAAGAAGGCAAAGCAATCATTCCACGAAATTATGAATCAGTTACAGTTGGATTTTGTCAAATTGTTGATTTTATGCATCTGATGGAGCAATGCACACCTGCACAGGTTTACAGCATCCCTTAATTATTGATCATACCTGAGATTTATTTATGTAATGAATTAAAGAAACATTGATATTTTCAAAAAATCATTTATTTTGATATTAACATATTTAGAAAATGTCATGTTTTATTGCCTTCGCAAATTTAACTTTACAAAATTGCGGTACTGTAATTTACTACAAATAAATTAAAAATGTAAATTTGCATATAAATACCTTAAAATTTAAATAAGCCTATAATTGTTGAAGTTGGAATAATGTGACAAGGATGGCTTGATTCATAGTACAATTATCATTTTAGGTGATTTCATTTTTGAATGAAACATTTATGTGTTTCGATGAAGTAATCAAATGTCATGATGCTTATAAAGTTGAAACAACAGGTGAAACATATATGATGGCATCAGGTGTACCAAATGAAAATGGTGGCCGACATATTTTTGAAATTGCTGAAATTGCACTTAAAATACGCGAGGTTTTTTGCATTTTTACATTGAAATAAGTTAGGGACATTTCCGCCATTAAATATGATATGATATGATAAGGATGATATCTTATCAAATTATATAAATTACTTTTAAAATTTCATATATTACAGAAAACTTTTTCCTATAAAGCTATTGATGTACCAAATTGGTTTCTTCGTGTTCGTATTGGATTTCATTGTGGACCGATAGCTGCTGGTGTTATTGGTTTACGTTCACCAAGATATTGTTTATTCGGTGATACGGTATTTTTTTTTGAAAAAAAAAAAAAAACTTGACTTCAATTTATGCAAATTTCCTATATTTTTAAAATTTTAGAAATAAAAATTTGAATCATGAAGAGGGTTTTTTTTCTTTTTTCAGGTAAATTTTGCATCACGAATGCAAAGTAATTGTGAACCAAATCAAATACAAGTAGCTGAAAGTACAGCAAAAATTTTAATGGAAAATTCTAAATATAAACTTACAAAACGTGGAGTTGTGAACGTAAAGGGCAAAGGTCATTTGTTTTTTGTTTTTCTTTTTTTTTTAATTAATATAATTTTAATTAGTGATAAAAATATATCAAATATTGTATTGTTGTAGGAGATGTAAATACGTATTGGTTAAATGAATTTATCCTAAATGAACAACAATCAGTTGATGTAATAATGCCGATTTGCAACATACATCATCAAAACGCTAAACACTGATACAGGTTTGTCAATTGTTAAGTGATCATATCATTATCATTGTTATCAATGATTCAAAATAATGTTGTTTATTGATTGATACAGATATTGCCAAGATTTTTCCTTTTTTTTTTTTTTACCATAAGAGTTAGAATGGTTTAAGAAAAACTAACAAAAAAATTCAATTTAATTTAGTCTATGATCTATGAACATTGCTGATCATTAGATCAAATAAATTAAATTCTTCTTTAATAAAATGAAAATTGTCATCAAATTAAAGAATAATTTAACTACATATTTGTAAAAAAAAAAAAAAGGTTTGCAATTTTGTCATTTGTCGTATATTAGAATTAATTATTTACATGGCATGATCAGTTTATTGCAAAATGTTAAGATGATCACGACGAATGATTGTAACAGAGGAATGAATGATAAGAGTTATAATTTTAAAAATTAACTTTAATTAATTGTAAGCTAAAAAAATCAACAGAATGATAAGAGAAGAAATAATGCTAAAAAAAATTGATAAAGAAAAAGCTTCTTTTTTTTCTTTTGATTCTTAACAATATTGCAGAAATTAAAAGCATTGTGAGATGATTGTAATATGATCAATTTCATGAATGTTGACAGTGATCGGAACGGAACTGATATGATACAAAGATCATCAGTGTGTGATTTTAATTTAATCAATTCCTATAGTATGCGTTACTTTCATGAGTAACATTACTAATTTTATTTAAATCCAACAATCCTATGAATGCGAAATGAATTTAAATTAATAAAAAAAATAAAATTAATGATATTTGGAAAATTGAAATTTAAAAAGAATGTGTCTGTCCATTGCTGGAGAAAATTTGATTTCCCTCTAATTATTATATGATAACAAATCTTGAGACTATTAAACCATATGTTTTCAGGCAAATTTATTAGATACTAGATATCTTAATTTTAGAACTTCTAAC